GCAGCAGCAGCAACAGCAGCAGCAACAGCAGCAGCAACAGCAGCAGCAACAGCAACGCGGAGCATTTGCCGCATTATGTGGCAGGGCAGCCGGTGCTGTCTGCTTGTTAAATTGCTCATTTAAACCATAACGAAATGGTCTGTGCCTGGGGACAGCTCCAGAGCATGTGCCTTCCTAGAACCAGCCCACTCAGAAAAACAAAACCATATCACTTTCAACTCGGCTGTAACGTAAATCGCAAAACCAAAGTGTCACAAGCCCTCGAGTCGTTTGGTTTTCAAAGATCTTTAATAGTCTTGTGGATAAAAGGTGGGGAAAAAATACTACATTTGTCATATTTATTTTATTATGTTGGTAAATTTTTTGAAGTAAGAACCAATGTTTTATCTTTTCAAATTGATTGCAACGCTTAAGTCTTATTATGACATTTTTGCACACATCCTGGTATTTAAAAAATTATCTTTTAATCCTGAGTAAATTAAGACTTTTAATAAATACCCTTTTTTAAATAGTTGATAAAAGGAGATAAGAAGATAAATTTTTTAAAAATATACTATGAGGACCTTTATATTTTATGTTGCGTTCTGTAAATATATGTGTTCTAAAATCCAACTTGTTACACATTTCGTTCAGTGCAGACACTTGCTTCTCTCGTTCTCCTTGTAGATGGAAAACCGCCATCGATGCGGCGGCCGTGCAAATTGCCCGGAGTCATGTGGCGACCGAGTTGCTAGAGGCATTTTTAATTAGCATGCAGCGGAAATTAGTCGAGTCCAATGCTAATGCCACTGGTGGCAAGGCAATGGGAAACGAATAGATTTGTCGATTTCTCGATTTGTCGGCCGCAGGCTGAGTAGATCCAGAAGAGCCCAATTCCCATTACCAATACCCCTTCAGATGTTAACATTTCTCGATTTGCGTCATAAGCCTGCGTCAACATAAATTACAGGCTGGCGAATTGGAATTTATCGGTGACATTGCGATAACGAGCATTGTGAAAAAGCGCTTAGGAACCGCGACAGCTTCTCAAGTGGCACGACATACGCAATTATATTTGATATTTTTATGGCATTTGTATGTGCGTTTTGCCAGCTTTTTGCTCGTTTTCGAGATTCGAGATCCCCCTGAAATGTTGACATAGAAAGCTGACAATAAGCGGCGACTTAAGCGCGTTTTTTACTTTTGTTTATAATGAAAGAATTTGTCCATAATTAACCAGATTGCCGCGAATGGAATATCACACCAATGACAGCTTAAATATGGCCAATTTCTCATAGATCTGTTAAGCTTACTATGTTACTCTTGGCTTAGGAGGTAAAAACCCCACTTGACCAGGTTTCTTTCCTCATTTTTTGCAGATGAATCTGCATCCCCTGAGGTGACATCGTTCGGTCTGGGGGGCACATGCCAAATTGGTGTCACAAAACCGAATCATAAATCAAGCAAATTATTATTATTATTATTATTGGCCAGCACAGCTCTCGGACACATGTGAGCCACATACTTATATAGAGATATCGCCGAGCAACAGATCGTAGAACAAGCGCCAAGCATCAGATCTCTCGCTCACTCTCTATCGATGGCTCTCTAGGAAAAGGCCATAAATCATGGCAATACCCCGAAAGCCGGCAACCCCATCGACATAGCTCCACAACAGCCATCCTCCATGCTTCACTGGACAATCATAATAATCACAGCCGGCTGCCGCACCACCACCAGCAGAGGCAAAAGAAGCAGCAGCAACAGCAGGAAAAGCAGCAACAAAAGCTACTTACTATGTCTGCGTCAACCGATATGCAACTGATAAAAAGAAAAACTGTGTAGAAAATATACAAAAAATGAGACAAACCAAGTTGGCTAAATACCCTGAAAGCTCTAAGGAGCATAGCGATATTTGGCTTCACTTAACAGCGAAGCTGGTGACTCCTTCGGACTCTATAATACAATAATTCACAATTCTATCGATAAATATTTTTTAAACCCCTTTTTTTAATATAACTATTCATAAATAATAGAAGTTTTAATCGTTTTATCGTTAACTAAACTTATTTCTGAACATATTCGGGTTTAATAGAACTTGAATTTAGTTTATATATTTTTAAGACGAAATTTTGATTCCAGATAATTACTATACAAAATAAAACGGAAGCTTTAGGTTGTCCTACCATAAGGTTAACGTTGTTTTAAATAAAACAAGGGAATTTTATCTTCGGTATACCCCTCGAATTTACTTAGTTTTCCATCGCATTGATTGTTTTCTTTGTTGTGGCTGCCGCCGTATCACTCCCTCCCCCTTCAAGTCCCCATCCTTCGGTGGCCAGCAAGCAGGAAAATTGACAATTGCGCACCTGCTTCATTTTCTTGTGCGGCTGCCGCCGAACGGCAAGCGGTCAACAACAATGCCACTGCCAATGCCGCGGCATCGTCTGGTTAATGGCATTTAACGGTCACCAAAATGCCCGCTGTGTAGCAGTAAACTTTCCCAAAAAAAAACATACAAAAAACACAATAATAATAATAGATAAATAGCTAAAGAAAAATAGGAAAAAAAACGCAAAAGGAAAAACTATATATTTCTTTGGCCATCGAAGGCTGGTTTGTGGATAATTTTAATGTGGATACCAGAGTTACATTGTTGCCCCCACAATTTGCATAATGCTAGGGAAATATCCCTGGGCCGGCATAAATATTTCATAAATTGCATAAGCCGCCGCGCATTTGCTCTAATTGTATGCTAATTCGGCCATGCCCCAAATAAATCAAAGCCAGTTGAGTGAGTTATGAGCGCGGATTTCTTGGCCTTTTTTTTGCAGCTGGTCTGGCATCGCTTAGGCATCGGGCATCGAGTATCGAAATCGGCATCCTTTGTTAAGGGGCCGGTCCTAATTAAAAACTGCTTATGGGGGCCTATCAAATGGCCATCACCGTTGGCCAATTAAGCGGCTGCTGGCCAACGGAAAATATACGAAATGAACCTGACCGCAAGATCAATGAGTCGTTGATGAAGTTGTTTTGATAACAACAACGGACTATAAGGCCCGGCCCTGCCTTAGAAAACGTGCGCAATTTATCTAAATCAGTGCAGCGAAAGAGAGCTCTCTTTTCCTCCTGGTTAACCCTGCCTTTAGTCACTTGACAATTGGCATGGTATCTCTCTGGGATACCAGGCTCCTAACTTCTCCTACTCCTCGCTACCCAGAGAGATAACCATCATAAATGCATTGAAATGTCATTGCCAAGTTGTGCTATCAGTCGCTGCTGAGCAGCTAACCAAAAACAGCAAAGTCGGCGATGGCGATAATAACCAGAAGAAGTACATATAGCATAGTAATCCCGAATCCCGAATCTCGATGGGCACGGCCTCGTCCGAGGGATCTGAATCTAAACATATACATATACCGTTACCCTTTATGCAATTACAAGTACGTGCAATTGCCAATGCAATTGCAATTGCAATTGAAGCGAAGCTGCTTAATTAGAGGCACTGAGGAAAAGCAAAGCAGGAGCCAGCGAGCACTTGACTGCTCCGCTGACTGACTGATGATTATTTATCACCGTCGTGAGTCGTGCGACAATGACACGAGTTAGTCCGTGGAGGAAAGGAGAGCTGGCGGTCTATGGATGTGGCCCAAAAGCCAGCAGCATCGTTAGCAACATTTTGTCTGCCACCAGACTGACTGACACAGCCTGACTGCCCCTTGCCATCCATCCATCCATCCGTCCGTCCGTCCATCCATAGATACATCCAACATACAGATGGACCCATGGACCATTGGACCAGTGGACAGCCGGGCACTCAATCTTTCAATTTGAGCTGCACTTCAATCAGTTCGGCTCAGTTCAGTTCACCTCGGTTCAGCGTCATCATTTTGGGCTGACGTTCTGTGAGAACGAAATTAGTTTCCAATCAGCAGAAGCGCCTTTTATTCTGCCATTACACTGAAAATAAATAGTGATTTATTGGGCATTTTAATGGGGTTGGGATCGCTAGTTAAGTAACTAAAGCCACCTGTTGTGTCTAGAAGTAAAAAGTCGTAAGTGAAAACTTTCACGACACGGTAGGTAAAATATTGAATAACTCATTTATTTTGCATCCAAATCGAATTGGTTTCGCTGACGGTTGTTCTTCAAACTATTCTGATACCCAAACTTCACTTAAGGACCGAAGTTTTAGTCATGTGGGCTAAACTCATCTTCTGTGCATTGATTTGTGGAATATTTTTGTCGCTTAGTAGCGCAAGGCGCAAACGTATCTTTCATAAACCTAAAAAAGATAAAAATTACCGAAGTGCAACGCGTAAACTTATTGAGCATGTTCGAGTAACGAAAATAGGATCCTTCAATATCCTGCAGGGTAATATAGGTATACCAAAAACAGTCATAGTTACTAAGTAAATTGTTTAAACTGCAGAAAGATGTATGTTCACGCCCAGTTACGGAACGTGTAAAAAAGCCATGAAGGTATATGGGTACAGCATGATGACCAACCGATGCAGCGAATACATTTATAGCGGCTGCGGGGGAAATCCCAATCGGTTTGCCACCCAACACGAATGTCGGAACACTTGTGTTTTTGGCAAGACAACCCGACAAGAAATAGACTATTACCAAGATACCACAGACCCAAATTATTAAATATAAAAAAAAAAATTTTTTACAATACTGGAAAGTTGTAAAAGCAAGGACTTAAGAATTTTGAATAAAAAACAACAAATTAAAAAATTAAGATTCAAAAATTTAATTAAAATCGAATTTTTCTTCAATGCATAGTGATGTTCTATGTATTTTAATAAGAAGAAACCGGTAGATTAATTTCGATTAAATCAGCTAAAAATTCAAAGTTTAAAAGAAAACATTTTTTAATAAAATAAATCTTGATACGGTTGCTAAAATTTTAAATAACTCATTTAATTTTCATCTAAATCAAATTGGTTTCGCTAACAGTCATTATACAAATTCCTTTTATACCAGAAAATCATTTGGGGACCGAAGTCTCAGCTATGTGGACTGAACTCATCTTCATCGCATTGATTTGGGGAATATTTTTGCCAGGTAATTCGCAACCAGCTGATTTTTCTTTTGATCCGCTAAGAAGTCCAAAGCGCGAACATATCGTTCATAATCGTGTAACGAAAATAGGATCCTACGATGTCCTGCAGGGTAAGCTAGGTAAACCAAACACAGTCATAGTTTCTAAGTATATTTTTTAACATGTAGAAAAATGTCTGTTTACGCCCAGTTACGGAACTTGTAAGAAGGGCCTTAGAGTATATGGCTACAGCATTATTACCAATCGATGCGTCCGATACTTTTATAGTGGTTGCGGGGGGAATCCCAATAGGTTTGCTACTCTACACGAATGTCGGAAGACTTGTCATGTCATTGGCAAGAGGTCAACTGGAAATGAAACAGACTATTTTAAAGATACCATAGAAACTGAAACAATAAATAGCACAACGTTGAGAATTTAAGATTCAAAAATTTAATTAAAATGGATTTATTGTTTTTACTGCGATTGCGTGTTGACCTAACTTTCTACAAAATAAATGTTTATCTTAATCAAATCGGTTTCAGGAATTATTTTATTGGTAAGCCTTACTCGGCCAGCTTAATGCTCAAATATATGCCTCTAAGTGCATTAATAAATTGTTACAATTTTCGGACCCCACCCCAAAGCGATACCCCCCGATAAGCGTTGCGCTATATTAGTGCATGGCTAATGCCCAATTCCCAACCAATTTGTTCTATGCGGAAGTTGAGCGACCGCAAGTCGCGTAGTCAATGCAGCGGAACTAAACTATTAACGCCTCAAAAGCGCACGACACTCGAACATTCTAATGACTTTATTATGAGCAATGCAGGGCAGAGATACTCAAACTCCGGGGCACCGCGACAACGGCAACATGTAGTCATAAGTTGTGGCAGTTGATGGTGCAGCAGTTGCTGCTGCTGCACCCACCCAAACAAATGTGACGTCAGGGTGCGGCGTAGTCATCGCAGATCGGTCGGCGGCTCCGGGCCTTTCAAGTGTGCAGTTAGCTGAAATGAATACCAGACCGAACCCAAACCCAGGCCAAACACAAACCGAGATCAGGGCATGACAGTATATCAGTTGACGTTTCTCGGCTGGCGTTGACAATTATTTATGGTAATAAACAGTTCCGCTAAAGCCTGGCACTCTGCTCTTCTATCGCAGACACTAAATCCCAAGATCCGAAAATATTCAAAGCCCACATAATGCGCCTCTAATTGCTACGAAGTCGATGTGTTACAATAACCATAAAACGTAACGATTTCCACAATTGAAATGATCCCCACAGACAACGAGTGGTAATAATAAAGTATGTACATTTGTGCATTCGCGGGGAGGAAAACAGTTCACAATTTGTAAGGCAACCAAAGTTCGGTTTCATTGTCAGCCAGCAATGGCTAAAAAATGGCAAAACAAATGGCCGGTGTCTCATTAATGCCACACAATGGTGGCAGCCAACGGCGTCCAAAATATGCAACATTCATCAATCACACAGCAAGCGAGCGGAGCTGACCCAAGCTGATATGCACTGGAAGAAATAGATCTTACAAAAAAATCTTTTACCTTTTGTATAGTATCATTTTATAAGGTTGCTATCTAAAAAGAATAAACAATTTCGATATTATATTACGTACAACTTTAATAATCTTAGGACATAAAAAATTCTTTCTAAAATAATGTTTTAAGCTTCAAAACTGAATTCATTAAATAAATTATATTAAATTTATTTTTTAATAAACAAATTTTATTAAAGATTATTTGCTAAGAAACAAAGTTAAAAATTTTTAGCACTAATCAAACAAATTTACTGTTTAACTCCTTAAAATTCTACTTTAAAACAAGAAAGGAAGCTAGCTTCGGCAAACCGAAGCTTATATACCCTTGCAGATCATTCTATTAATTTACAAATCGCAAAAATGTTAAATTTCTTAATATTTCACATTAATTTTTCGATCGTTTCTATCACAGCTATATGATATAGTAGTTCGATCTTTTAAAAATTAAAATCGAAATTCGGAAATATTTTAAAATAGTCATATCCCAGAGAAGAAGGGAATGTAATAAAAACCAACAAAGATATAATTTTTTCCCATTAATTTCCATTTAATTTTTCGACCGTTCCTATGGCAGCTATATGATATAGTGATCCGATTTAAAAAACAAAAAAACCGAAATTCAGAAATATAAAGAAAAAAATATTCCCAAGAGGAGAAGGTAAAATTTAAAAAAACACCGGAGCTAGAATTTTTTTACGTTTTTTTTTTTTGATCCTTTCTATGGGAGCTATAAGTTGTCCGATCCGGTTGGTTCCGACATATATACTACCTGCAATAGAAATACGACTTCTACGAAAGTTTCATCCCGATAGCTTTAAAACTGAGAGACTAGTTTGCGTAGAAACGGACGGACAGACGGACAGACGGACGGACAGACGGACAGACGGACGGACAGACGGACAGACGGACAGACGGACAGACGGACATGGCTAGATCGACTCGTCTTGTGATGCTGATCAAGAATATATATACTTTATGGGGTCAGAAATGTCTCCTTCACTGCGTTGCAAACTTCTGACTGAAATCATAATACCCTCTGCAAGGGTATAAAAATATGAAATAAATACTAAACAGTTTAAAAAGTTGAATAATTATTTTTCAGAATTATTTTTCCAAGTGTAAATTGAACAGAGCGTGGCGCACACCGCTGGCCAGCGAATGAGAATGAGTTCACGCGCTGCACTTGAGGTCGAAAACGGACTGCTGGCGGACTGACTGTGTGCGGATTGATTTGCTTGGCGCATTTTCAAGTCAATTACACATATTTGTGGCATTTGCGGCAATTGAGTATGAAAACTCATGCGGTGGGTCGTTCGACCAGTCGTAGGTGTTGGCCGTCTGTCTATTTTATTTGTTTGCGGCTCGGTTTGTTTGCCAGTGTGCGAATGTGGCATGCCACAACAACTCGCCGCATGTGTCCGCCCACAAAGCGGTGGTTTTTTTCGGGGCTGACCAAGTGAGTCACGTTGGCAGTCGGGCGAGCCGTAGAGCTATATAGCCATAACTCATGTCCCAGTCATATTGCACAACGATTACGAGGGAAGCGGTCACCGAGGGGTTACACGAAGGCTCTTATCAAATCGGATGATGGCAAATGACTCGAACTATAGAAACAAGTTATTTTTATGATAGAGAAATAAGCTAATTCTAGTTTATGAGGGGTTTAGTTAAAATCCATAAAATTAGAATAGTAAAACAATTTGATTAAAGTCATCCAATCTAAGAAAAAATCAAGTTTACAATAAAAATCCCTAAAAATGTTCTTGTATCAGTAATTCTAATGGTCAACAAGGGGTTAAGTGTGGGTTCTTATCAAAACAGCTGATGTGTAAAGCTCTGGTCAGTCATACACTAACCAAAGCTTTAACCCACAACAAAGGTGTGATAAGAAAGCTCAACAGGGCGCATGCGTGATTTTTCGGAGAGTGTTAATTTGAGTGAGCGAAATGCCAGCAAAAGCTCAGTAACAACAACAAGTGATGGGCTGAAGGGCGCCAGAAGAAAGGGGTTTCACAAAAAGTTACTCATATTTTGTTTACTACATGAGTAGTTACAATTGTGTTTTTTTCTGGTGTTTGGTGGATAGCCGGGTAACGACTACGTGAGAAATTTCAGTTGAGTTTGGGAACTTCGTGGGTACTGCGAAATATGAGCTTGTAACTGTGGGAACTGGTCACATTTCCGTGGAGGAAAGTGCTCGCATAGCAAATGGGGCGGCCAATTAAATAGTTTATTTGTTCATGAAATTACATAAAATAGAAACTTAAAACCAGCTCTGAAATTAAATATTAATGAATCTAGCAAGGAAACAAAAAATTTAAATTATAATTTATACATTTTATTTTAAAATTTGCCAAGAGAAAAAAATACTTTTATTATACAATTTCATTATTATCTGATATAATAAATTGTTGAAATTTGAAACCTGAAATAAATTTGCTCTACTGGACCATAAAATAATATAACACTAAAAAACACCTGCCTGGCAATATAAAGAAATAGCTTATAATTAACAAGGATTTACAGGTAATATAACTTGGTTTTACGATTATTTAAGCGCGAAAAAGAAGCCCATGATAAAAAAGCAGGTAGTTATAAATCTTTGCGAATGCTAAACGTTAGTTTGAGTTCTCTTAGTTTTTAACAGGTACTTCAAGATAAGTCTTAAAGACCACTGTCCCACTTATCTAATCGCCACTGTTTACACATGGGTAAATACTCCTAATTGCGGCGCCCCAAGATCTGCCAGAGATATAAACCAGATCCATTCCGGCCGTTTGTCGGTGGCATTCCTTGCACAGATCATTAATCAACTGATCGAGCCGATCGGTAACTCAATCCACTGCATTTCGAGGAAAGAACGTATTCTGTTGTTTATTTAAAGGCGTGTTCCCTTATACATATGCTGCATTCTTTGCCCAGTGATTGCAACTATTTATAATACACTTTACGCTCCCCAGAGATATATCTCTCGTTTGCTCTGTTCTCTTCTCTTTTCTGACTGTGCGTCTGTCAGTTTCGCACATGAAAATACGTAAACAAAAGCGTATTATCGTCCCCGATAAACAACAAACAAAACAAAAATGTATTTGTTCTCCTCTCAAGCACTCTCTCTATATCTCAATATATATTTTTCTCGGTCTCAATGCTCAACGAATTTTCTCCGCTCATACGCCCGCATTGTGAGAAGCAAAACAATCAAGTGAAAGCGCTGAAATTGTATTGTGGTCTGCTTGGGCCACACAGCTCATAAACAGAGAAAAAAGCGACAAAATCGGAGAAAAACTTTCGTCGGGCATACCGAGTGCACAAGAGCAAAGTGCACGGCGCACGGCGGAGAGAGAGTGCCAAGTTCCAAGTGCCAAGTGGTATCTGGAAATTATATATTTTACGGAACTAACGCAGAGACCCCGGGGCCCCGAACTCAGACACAGAGTCAGTCGCACGCGAGAGTCGCTGACGGGCGGAGTATAAAATCGGAACCGAAAAGCAAGAAAAAAATCGGAATTGCAGACGGAAACTGACTGAATCCCAAATCGGGAATCTCAAGCGGTGGGAAAAATGTGCTAGAGAAGATGTGCTGCGAGACGAAGGCCCATAAATTGCGGCGGAATCAAATGAGTTTTATTCAATCAACGAAGAAAGTCCGCCCACCAACGGAAGTGCTATATATATAGAGACTACGCGAGCTACGTTCGACAACATCCCAAATAAACTAAGCGAAAAGGTAAAAGCGAAAATTGTGCTATAGAAAATGTGTGTGTATATGGAGGTACACGCCTTTTAAGTGCACTAACGAAAATATATACTGGCATGCAAAAGGGTAAACTGAAAGACGGTAAATGATTTGCCAGACGAGAAATAGTTTTCCAGTTATAGAGTTATAATGCCAAACGGGAAATGGGCTTTGGGCCAGCTCAGCCAGTCGTCGTCTAGGGTCAACATCCTTTGACCCAATTATGGCTTAGGAACTGCACAATCTTTGCTGCCAATTGGCAATGTTGGCTTCTGTTTTGTTGTCGTCGTTGTTGTTGTCGGTCCTGGTGTCAAGCCGTTTATAATGTGGCTCAATTTCCGTTTGCCTTTTCTTTGGGCCTGGCCTAAACGCATCCCCAGTAATAAACCCCGTACTTCCCCCCGTTTCAGCTTTACTGCTGACACGCCTCAGAGTTTTGCAAGCGAAAAATTATGAATAGCTTGGGGGAAAGAAGTGCGGTGGGGTTCTGGGGATTGGGTAAGGACTCTGGGGGCTAGGGATTTTGGGTTGGGGGTTCGGGAGTAGTTGGTGGTGGGCGCGGCAGAGCAGGCGCACTCCTTGATAACTCTCTCGCACACTCTCTCTCTCTCGTAAACTCTCTGGAAGCCCTTCATCCTTACCCCCAAGGATGTGCCTAACCTACCTTTTGTTGAATTTTATAGTATGTAGTATGATAAACGACAGACATGCAGCAGTGTGAGTGTGTGTAAAATCGCCGCGAGAGTGTGTGTAAGCAGGTGATTATCTGTTGCCGTCGTGTATTTATCTCATTGAAGCATTCAAAAGTGGAATGCAGCCTGCTTTTAGGCGCCTACAACGTGCTTTATCATGTTATACGGAAAAAGTCCTTAAAGCCAGGACTATGGGCATAATATTGAGTTGTTCTCTGGTTTATTTTCCTTACTTATCATTCAACAAGTGATTGACTACTATCAGTATATATCACATTTCACATATTGCAAAAGCTGTGCAAATTTATAACTGACGTGTTAACGGATCTGGTTGTATATTATTAATAGAACTCATCCGACTGGTGACTATAGGCATATAATTGCTTACTCGGAGTTATGGGCTTGACGTTGATTTATTTTAGCATTACGTGAGTTAAGGTTGCAAAAATGTTTATTTGATTAAACTAAACGGTTAACCTCGTTGCTTTATTTAGTTCTAAAAATGGTTCTAAAATTTAAAGTATAATTTCCTCAATTTAACTTATTATGGCTCTCGGAATTTCTACAACATCATCTCCAGATATTACTGGCTTTATCTGCATCTCGTAGAGCTTGCCGCTGTCATATCTCGGAATACAATTTCCATCCCATGGTTTATGTGTGGAATGCGTCACGTACATACCAAAGATACTCGAAGATATTCCAGCGCGTGAGAAGCACTTCATCAGGAGCAAAGCTCCACTCGACACCCACTGAACCTCCCATCCCACCACCCATCTTATTGTGCAATTTTTTTAATGGCAAACCCTCTGCCGATTGAGAGCTGCGCGTGAATGGGTGGCTGGGTGGTCGGCTTAAATGGAAAGACGGGCTAAAAGTCATTAGGGCTAAGAGGAGAAAAGGCGACCCGCAAAGGCCTGCGAAGCCACAAAGCCGAAGGCGTTTTAATGAAGCACACTTGACAGTCATAATTCATTTGCAGCAAATCAACTCAGAGACAGCAAGACAAGCAGACATGTCCCCTTCCAAACCCCAAAGGTTAGGGCTTGTCCTAAAGCGATTACAAGTGCAGGGAAGTCCATTAATGGAAACCCATTAGCACACAGGAAGAAAACAATGTTCTACAACTTAAAAGGGCTGAGTTCCATGGAAATAATTATAATTGAAAGAAATGTAGCTCTTAAGAAAATAATAAAATGTTTCATTGTACAGATAGCAATTAAATAAATTCTTTTATATTAAAAACCTTATCAAAGCATGTTTGGCTAAAATTCCCCTTCTTTGCGTTGCTTCTTGTTCTTCTATAGATCTCTGAAATGGCATAGTATTTTTAAAATAAATATCAGCAAAACCACAAGTTACCACAGACATTAATCATAAGTTCAAAACCTCTGAAATAATCTTTGCATTTTTTTTTAAAAAAAAACCATCTTCTTTGTGTCCAGCCTCTTCCGACAATGGGCAAGGATCAGGAGTTCCTGGAGGCGGCGCGCAATGGCAACATCTCGCACATCGAGAAGGTGCTCACCCAAAAGGCCAAGAGAGCCGGACCGCTGGCCAGTTTGCGACGTGGAACTGGGGTGAATTTCCAGGACAGTGGTGGCTCCTCGGCCCTGCATCATGCCTGTCTGAATGGCCACGAGGACATAGTTCGACTGCTGCTGGCCCACGAGGCCTCACCAAATCTGCCTGACTCCCAGGGATCTTCGCCTCTTCATTTGGCCGCCTGGGCTGGCGAAACGGAGATTGTGCGACTCCTGCTGACACATCCCTATCGACCGGCCAGTGCCAGTCTGCAGACCAAGGACAAGGAGACCCCGCTGCACTGTGCCGCCCAGCATGGACACACGGGAGTCCTGGCCCTGCTCCTGCATCACGATGCGGATCCCAATATGCGCAATGTGCGCGGGGAAACCCCTTTGGATTTGGCCGCACAATATGGCCGACTGCAGGCGGTCCAAATGCTGATACGTGCCCATCCGGAATTGATAGCCCACCTGGGCACAGAGGCCTTGGAACGGGGCACCCCGTCGCCCTCGTCGCCAGCATCCCCTAGCCGGGCCATCTTTCCGCACACCTGTCTGCATTTGGCCAGTCGAAATGGCCATAAAAGCGTCGTCGAAGTCCTTTTGTCCGCCGGCGTCAGTGTGAATTTGCTAACTCCTTCGGGAACTGCTCTGCATGAGGCATCGCTGTGCGGCAAGGAGAGTGTGGTGCGGACTCTCCTAAAAGCTGGCATCAATTTGGCCGCCACCGACAGCGAAGGACGCACCGCCCTGGATATTCTGCGCGAATTTCCACCGCATGTCACCAAGCACATTGTGGCTGTGATCAACAGTACGTATGCGTAATCTGCTTTTCTTTTACACTCGATTTATTGATTGTTTTGTCATGCTTTATTTTTATACAACCGCTAATTCCAATGACTCTATTTATATGGTAATGCGGTTACAGTCTCTCTGTTTATCGAAGCAAAGTAATATATACACAAAGTTGACCCCATTTATACGTATGCGAATATATGTAAAGTCTGAACGAGATAAGCACAGGTCTTGAAATGAGCTGGAATCTCAAGACAGATTAACTCTTGAGAAAGCACAGAAAATGAGAGATTATAAATTTCAATTTATAAATATTTTATATTTTTTTTTATAATTGAATATTTATAAAATCTAAAATTTTATAAAAATAAAATCTTTCTTTGAGAAACTATTAAATTTTAACTTAATTTTTTTACCTACAGACTTTCGTAACCAAATGGACACCGATGAGGGCGACGAGGTGATCTACAGGCAACACTCGGGACCACCGAATTCAGGACGTGGCCAGGGCAAACACCATTCGCAGCAGCAGCAGGCCCACAGCAATCACTACCATTTCAACTCCAACAATCACTTGCTGAATCACTCACACTCGATGCAGCAGTCAGGATACAGTAAACAGCGGCTGAGTGCCGGAAATGGTGGACCCTACAATGGAGGAAAGTCCTTGGACAGTGCCCTCCAGCCGGAGGATCGTTTCTACCAGGATCTCAATGCGCACTCCCCTCTGCATAGTCAGAAGTATGTCAAGATTTATTATACGATCCTAAAATTATTATTAAATTTTTAATACCTTTCCTAGTGAAATGGTTGGCGGCTACAGTGTGAGTCCCTCCTCTTCGCTGAGCAGCTTTGAACCGGCTTCGGTGTCACCCAGATCCCGTTGCTCCACCGGCGGCCTTGGCCAGCCAATGCAGATGAGCACTTTTGCTCCAGCAGGACCTCCCAAAAAGCCCCCAAGACGCAACCTCTCCGTGTCACCAACCCATGCCGGACCTGGCCAGCAGTTCAGCTACAGCTCCCCATCCAGTCAGAGCCAAAGTCAGAGCCATGGTTATGGTCATGGTCAAAACCAGATGCGTCGTCAGCCACCCAGTGATAGTCCGTATTCCCATCAGAGCCATGGAAGTGTTGGCGGGATGAGTTTCGATGAGACGCAGATGAGGGAAAGACAGCGCAATGATCGTCTTTATGCCAGTGCCAGGCAGAGCACAAGATCAGCCATCGCCGGAGAATTGAGCCTGAGTTCAAGCAGTAAGTTCCGGATAGGAATCCAAATCGAACCCTTTAAAAAACTCCTCTTACAGATGACATGTTGGATCGTCAGTGCAGCAGCTCGGAATTAAATAGCGAGACGAGTGTCCCGAATTCTAGCGGGGATTCACCTGCTACCAACTCCATGAAGCGACCAATTCCAGCTCCTCGAAGTGCCACCACCAAGCTTTCCAAGGAACTATTGAAATCCGCAGAAAGTGCCACCCTCAAGTCGTATAATCCCAATCGAAAACTAAAGCGCAATCGAAACAGCAGGTAAGAAAAAATTATAATTAAAAACATTAAAAAACTTTGAAATAGGTAAAACATTTTCATCTTAATAATATTGCTTAAAATGTTTGTACGTCATGAAAACCAACATTTTGTATTGCCTAACAGTTTAGTAGTGGTAGTAAAAATGTTTATTAAGTTCCATTAAATTTTTTGTTGCATTAACTAACTTCCACGTAAACGCAAATTTGTAATATAGCACTAATGATGATTGTAATTTTGACGCCATTATATAAAACGCTTAGGTGACCCAAATTATTATACGGCCTTAAAGAGCATGTTGCCAAACTTTTAGTATGGTATGGTTTAGATTTAATTTACTGTAAATTATACTGAAATTAAACTGGAATATTAAATTAGCGTTCAAGTAAACAAGGCCAATTAGCCTGATTGGTATTTAAATATTTTAGTTTCTTGCAGATTTAACTAAAGTTATTAAATAAAAAACAAATGAATGGAGATAATTTAGCGGAAATATAACAATAAAAATTTGTTAAATGTTGTGAGAAATACTTTATTACTAATAAAATATATTAAATTATTTCAGTGGTGCAAGTGCGGCGGCCAAATCCAACGGTGGCGACGAGAACTTTGAGGCCAAGCAGCAGATCCCCAGCAGTCCCACCCACTACAAGCAGCCACCCACGCCGGATCACCCGCCGCCGAGCTCTAGCCAGGCGGAGCGGACCATTCACGAGCGGATTCGACCGCTGAGCCAGGAGTACAAGCGTCGATCCGCTCTGCTCCAGCTGCAGGCGGCCCAGCAGCTGATGATCGAGACGGGCTCCTCGCCATCGAAACTGCTGCCCACGCTGAGTACGCCGGGCTATGATTACGACGATACGGTGACGGTGGTGCCCCGCTGCCCAGCTCCCTCCTCCGGATCCCTGAGCTCCAGCATCTCGTGCTCGGATCACAGTCTCTCCCATTCCACCGACTATGTGGAGGAGTTTGTCAGCGACGTGCCCTTCGCGGGGCTGCTTAAGGGCGCCTCTCAGCTGCCCCTTCTCAAGGAGCAGTGCGAGCTGAAAATCCAGGAGGTGGAGAACAAGCCACAGCAAACTCTGCCCAGAGTGCGTCCGCCCATTCCCATCAAGCCGGCGGTGCCGGAGAGAAAGTTTGTGAAGCCGCCGACGACGCCAACCAATCAACCGGCGGAGGCCAATGGGAATTCCTCGGGCGAGGTGGTAATCAAACCGCCAAGATCACCCTCCAAATCCCCTTCCAAATCCTCTGGCAAATCGCCTGCCAAATCACCCGCAAAATCTCCAGGAAGTGGTCAGTCTGCGGCAAGAAATTCCATAAATCTCCTGAGTCCTTTTAATGCGGAGGAGGCACGCAAGAAGATCTCCGAGATTATCGAGAACTTTGGCAGCGGCATCCTGAACACCAGCATAACGCCCACCCACGACATCGAGCTGGACTTTGAGGACATGGAAGTGCCCAATGAGCGAAGGGAACTGGCCACACGTCTTCGCTCCGCAGGATTACTTCACCTGGAAAGGATGCTCTTTGAGAATGGTTATGATAACTACAAGTTTGTGGTGAGTCCACTTGGAACTGGAATTTAATTGGTGAGAATGGTAGTTAATGGTGCTTTTATTTCCCAGCACAATGTATTTGAGGAGCCCGATATTCCGCTGCTGCACATTCCCGAACGCGATGCGGCCAAATTGCTGCGTTTTGTTCAAAGTCTGCCGCCGGCGGAGTTCCAGCCGCAGGTGCCGCTGAAGACGCAGCAGGAGAACAAGCAGATGGGCGTGGCCACGCTGCAGCAGTGGCTTAACACCATTGCCCTGCCGGAATACCTGGAGTTCTTCAAGTAAGTACTATTATTATGTAAAACAAATAAGTGTCGGGTTACATGGAATACTGTAAAATTGATATGGCTAATGCCATTTTTCGATTATAGTCACTTCGGAAATATTTTGAAAAATATAATTAAGTGAAAATCAGGTTTAGACTGCTTTTTAAACACGATATTTTAGAAATAAAGTTTTCAGAAAATGTTAAATATTAAAGTCTTTACAAGGAATATCAAATTATATTTAAGGTCTTCCAGAACTATCCTGCAAAAACTGGTATTTAAGATTGCCATCTTTTTTAGCAAACATCTCTACAACACCATCGAGAGCGTGTGCGGAGTTTGGGATGTGGAGCTGCAGACGGTGCTGGAGATCAACAAGCTGGGCCACCGGAGACGCATCCTGCAGTCGCTGGCCTACATCCGCCAGATGCGCGACAGTGACTCCAAGTCGCTGAAGACGCCGCTGGGCGAAAACAACGAAACCAACCAGCTGACAACGAATGGCAATGGAACCGTCAGGGAGGCTCCTCCGCGGATACCCGCCAATCCCGTGCATCACCGCAACTCCATTACGGGCTATCGCAAGAGTCGGTAAGATGTGGTCTTTATCTTGAAGGAAACATCTTTCTTTAAATTGCATATTTTTGGTATTTTTAAGACCCGCACCACCGCCACCGGCTCCACCAGCTAGAAAGACGCCCGCTCTGCAAATAAGGGCTCCTTCGGAGCTTCTGCTGGGTCTTCCGGCCAATCTACGGACCACCGAATGGCGCCACTCGGCGCAGACTTTGCTCAACGAGCACATCAATTACGAGGTTCAAGTAAGTTGAAGCTAAAGTTAATTATTAACAGAAAGGGTAATATTTCAATAAGATTATAAAGAAACTTTCTCAAGGAAGTTCCGTATACTTTAAGTTACATACGCGAATTCTTAAGCATCATCGTGTTTTTAATAAGTTTCAACCGAAAATATATAAGACAAATGTTTACTTATCGAAGATGTTTATTTGTATCATTAAATCTTTTATTTCACTTAAATTTAAATTTTTTTAAATTTAATTTTGACAACATTAAAAAATTTGTAATTACTCGTTATTTTAATGGTTTATTTATATAAAATTTGTTTTCTCCCTTTGCAATAGTACCTCGGCTCAACGGTTGTGAAAGAACTACGTGGCACAGAGTCCACCAAGAAGTCCATACAAAAGCTGAAGTCCTCAGCTGAAGGTGAAGGCAAATCGGGGTCACCACTCTCGCTGGCGATTAGCCATCGTGGAGTGGAGTTCAACGATGTGAGCAGTAAGGTGGGTAAACTGCTCTTGGAATATAAAAAATCGTATATCTAAACTCCTAAATTTTTGGTACAATTTACAGCGCACCATTTGCGAGCATGAGATTCAGAACATCAACTGTGCCTGCCAAGACTCGGAGGATCTACGGCACTTTGCCTATATAACCAAGGAGCAGGACCTGCACTACTGCCATGTTTTCCTGGTCGCAAGCACAGTGAGTATATACACTCGGATATACTTAAAAATTGTGACCATGTAATATTTTGCCTTGAAAGGATCTGGCCAGCGAGATTATCCTGACTCTAGGGCAGGCCTTCGAGGTGGCCTATCAACTGGCACTGCGCGATGGAATCTCCACCACGCCGGCTCTTCTCCTGGACAATGGAATGCTGCAGGGCGAGTATTGTGGCGGGAAATAGAGCCAGGACCTGGCCCCAGGAAAGTCAACACCGCCGACACCACCGGCACCACTCAGGCCAGGTCACAGTCTCAGTCGCAGTCACAGTCAGAGTCGCAGTCACAGTCGAAGTCGCAGCCTATGCGCCAAACTATTTTGCCTCACCAACTATGGGGCTCTGTTCAAGTTGTAGTTAGAGGGATTTTTTGTATGGCAACTAGTAGTTTGTAGTCCTTGCGCATTTGACTTTTATACGAGAGCGGGAAAGGGAGTTTTTTCGAATCATTTAACTATTCGTATGGCCAAAGAACAAACTACAAACGAAACGAAACGAACAAAAAGACTCACAATCAACAAAAGGCACAATTTTTTCCATTTAAGAGAAATGCACCAAAACAAATATGAAGGCTTTATTAGAGCTTCACAACTTCCAAATATAACAGAAAGCTTTCCTTTCCAATCGACTTTATTATTAGATCATTTTGCAAAGAACAATTATCATTAGACCATTTTGCAGGGGTAACAATTGCATCCCTATTCCAAAAAGAACATATTGAGGTATTGCATTTATGGGGTAAACAAACAATTAAGCTTGACGGTATAAAACAATAGTAAATGAAAATGTTTTAGCAAATTTTAACAGATAAACAAATGAGGGAGGAAAATCATGTTTGGCGTACGAGCGAAGAAATTAAAAATATATTGGCTTATTAAACAATTTTATTAATGTTGAATGCTAATGGCAAAGAATTGAATTGAAATGATAAAGAAAGAGCAATGCAAAATCATATCCCGCATTCACGAAGATCTATAACCTATTGGCTAATCACATTTACTATATATTATACATATATACATACGACTAACTCTAATATTGATATGTATGCGTGTTGTTATATAATTTTTAATTGAATATTTAAGCGAATCGAATCAAATCAAAGGACAGACAACGCATCAAGTTATAAGCAAGTTAATGCTTACAAAATCGTAAAAATGAAAATGACTGCATCGATGTGACGAGTCAGCCGCATTTTAAATATGTTTTTTCGAGAATACTTTACGAATTTTTAAGAAAAACTTTTAACTAGTCCCTTAGTTGTTACGTAAGCATTTATCAAATCACATGTGTTTTTGCATTCATTCGATTGTAAAATGTTTTTCGTTTGAGGCCAGGCCTTGTTGTTAAAGCTTTCATTTTGACTTGGTTTACGTAGAATTGTATTACTTTGAATCTAGACTTTAAACCTTCTCTATCGATGTATGCGAACGCTTTAAATGTTATCCTGCTTGTGGTACAACAGATTCCATTAAGTACCTACCTACTCAATACAAAATCGAAGATAATTACAAATAAAACTCATCTTAATCCATTTTCTCTGGGCAGCAGTTTGTTATGCCATAGACACGCACACGGAAATAAATCAATTTTATTAAACTATATATACAAAGTCGTACTCAAAACAGCCTAGCCCATAACTAAAGAAATTTAATAAAAATCCCAATATAAATAGACGGCGTACAGATTGCAAAGTTGTGACAACACAAATTCAAAATTTTTAAGTGTTTATCCAAAAAAGAAAAATGAAAAGAATGAGCGAAAACTGAAGATGAGAGAAAATACTAAATAAATACATAATTAACTGAGGCCACAAGTTGTTTAACTCTTTCGCGGGGTCAGGCGGCAATTTAAACGCCTCGTGATGTCAATTAAGGCCCCACTTTCCCACAGGCCACGGGATCCACTTGGAACCAGAAAGAAGAGGACCGAAGACCAGGATTGGCCAGGGGGAAAACCTCGATCAGTTACACAAAGGCAAACGCGTAAATGCGAATTTAATGTGAGCCGGTTTGCGAAGCGGCGCGATGTCTTGTTGGTTTTTTATACGGCTAAATGCGTTAACCATTTGATCATGCGAATATTAATTGGCACTGGCCAACACCGAAGCGCAGCTCGGGCCTAATGTTGTTGGCCACAAAGAGCAGAGCCTGCGTCAAATGCGGCCAGACATCCGATAGGCGAAGATCCAAGCCAGCCAGAATGACGACGCGTTGTCTTCAACGAGCCTCAGTCACAATTGAACTGTTCGTGGTGGATCACGAAATTAAATACTTTTAACATTTAAAATATAGTCGCATAAAATCTTGATAAAATTAAATTTTTAAAAATTACATTCCAAAAAAGAAAAGTTATAATCAAGCTTTAAACGACTGTGGTCAAGTGCTTATTTAGGAAACCAAAATATTAAAGATCGTTACAGAACGCAAATGTAGTAGGTATATTTTCGTTTATTAGTTTTATTTTGTATGTAAAACTTTTTTTAAGTCAATCAAGTACTTTATTTACTTTTACAATTTAAAATTTTAAAAATTTATAAATCATTCTTAAAATTCGATGGTAATTTTTGACACAGCAATAAATAAATAAAACGAATATATATTAGAAATTTAAAAAATTTTTTTAAAGTTTTGAATAATCTTTAGGGTATTATCTTTCTAAACCAAATCGTGTCACGTGTCCATCTCTCGGCGGCTGCATTTGATGCCTCATCTTGCGCTTAACGGTTTAAATTATTGTCTCTCCGTCTCACTCGCGTGCAATTTGTGGCGCGCAGCTTATCACAATATCATTATTATTATTATTACTATAGCCATTGCCATGGATATGGATGTGTAGTCGGCATCAGCATCAGGATGCCCTCTCATTGGCCATTTCTCCGTCTGTGCGTTTATTTGTAATTGAAATTGCGTGACTTTATTCTTTGATTTCGCTATTGGCCATTGCCATTGCCATTGGCATTGCTATAGCGATTGCGATTGCCATTCTGGTAATGTGCTTTTTGCGTACGAGCGGCGAGTAAAGTCAACCTGTAAACTTGCACATTTTGCCCCCTCATCGGTGATTTATGCCTCTAACGGCGCACAATAAAGCCCAGAGAAAAGAAAACAAAATATATCTGGCAAGCGAACTTTTTCAGGCGAGCTTTCATTTTGCTACTGTCCATGCTGTTGGCCTGGTCCAAATGCCAGCAAGCAACGAATATTTGCCCAGCCCTTGACAATCTCAAGTTCCGCCCCTGTGGGGGAGTATTTGTTTTTTTTTCCTGAGAGCGATGTATACTAGATATATGGAAGTGGAAGTGAGCCAAGCTGGTGAGAAGCTTTCCACTGCTTGTTCTGGCCTTCTTCTGTTCCTGAGCGCCGGCTACGAGTTGTACCAAAAAAACCGCCAGACGCCAACAAAACGTGGTCAAAACGAAAGCGTTATTAGTGTGAACATTCGCACTCAAGTAATACATTTTAGTTCAAATTTTGCCAAGCCTGTAGTACAAAATCCCATTGATCACCTAGGAATTTGTTTGTAAAAGTTAGAAAAATTATTTTAAAAATTTATTTCACTTTCAATTATTAATATTTAAAGTGTATTTTATACATAAACTCACAAAAAAAGTGTAAAAAGAATGGGTAAATTTCCTTATTGGTCTAGTATTTCGCAAAATCGTTCACATTCAGCTTTTGTAGAAAAACGGTTTCTATTGCCACCACATCCTGAATAGAGGACCCTGATGCACTCATTGTCGTAATCGGAGAAGGCCCACACCACTCGATAGTTTTTACAGTGGCCAGGATCGAACAGCATGGAACAAATGGCTAAGGAAATGGGTATTAATAAATGTTATAGACCTCAGCTGGGAAAACCACTGATGGTTTAGTCGTATAACAAAATTTATATCGGTATAAATAGCGTTAACAAAACTCTAAGTTATTTATCACGATTTTTTTTTAAGTTATAACTTACGATTTATGGAGTATGAAGACTTAATAGAAGCCACTAAGATAGAAAGTAGGATAAGTAGGACTGCAAGTGCTTTCATACTTGTTTACTTTAACTGAGACTATTTACTAAACTGGGGAAACAAATGTTTAAGGTATTTATACTCAAGTTTGCGATTTTAGACTAATTAAAATGTGCTTTGGTTGTAAATTTACCAGTAATAAAAAAAACAGAAACATATCAATATAGTAAAAAGTAATACATATTGTGTTCTAGGGTTTGTTCATAATAAATGTTATTTAAAGTTGTTTTTTTGAATAATAAATTTTATTATTTTATAATCTTGCAAAAACGTTCACACTCGGCTTTTGAAGAAAATCGGTTTTTATTGCCACCACATCCTGAATAGAAGCCCCTCTTGCACTTTTCCTCGTAGTAGGAGAAGCACCATACCACTCGATAGTTTTTACAGCGGCCAGGATCAAACAGCATGGTACAAATGGCTAAGAAAATGGGTATTCAAAAAATTAATAGATCAGCTGGTAAAACCATTGATGGTTAGTAATAGTCGTATGAAACTATTTAAAAACATGGATTTAAATTTCATTATTTACAACGATACCATAGATGTATTTGCAGCTGTTGGTTTTAAATTTAGAACTTACGATCTCTGGAATAACTAAACTGAATAGAAACCACTGTGATAGAAAGTAGGACAAAAAGAACTGCCAGTGCTTTCATACTTATTAATTTTAACTGAGAGTATTGACTACACTGGGGACACAAATGTTTTAGGTATTTATACTCAAGTTCCCATTCTTTAAAGAAATGATAATATGTCTTGGCTGAAAATTTCGCAGTAATAAACATTTCAAGATAGTAAAAGCTAATACCTATTGTGTTCAAGATGTTGTTCCATTGATAATAGTACAAAAAATGTTGTCTAAAGCAGTTTATTTGAATAATATATATCCTTACAATATCATGCATATGTTTATTATCTTTCCGTCCGAAAATTAATTAGCATGCACAAATCGATTATGAAGTATTGCGCAAGTTTTTTCGCACTTTTCCTTGGTAAAAAAGCGATTTTCATTGCCTCCGCAGTTTGAGAAAACAAATGGGACGCACATTTGTTGCTGATTGGAAAAGGCCCACATCAAGCGATGGCCTCCACATTTACCGAATTGCTGGGGCAGATAACAAAGCGCTGAAAAAATGTACTAATTAGATATTAATTTTTTACAAATGAACAAATTACCAAGTCTATTTCTTGCAGGCTGAACAGTTGACACCGAAATCGCCAGAAGGCCCAGAATAACAATACCTACTTTCATCCCTCACTATTGGAACTCAACAAGTTCTCTAAAAACGATTCCCACAGTTTGCGGGGTATTTATACTTTTTTGTGCTAATGAAAATGTGGTTTGGTCTATAGAGCTTGAAGTAGTAATTTGTGATCATCAAGTTCACAATTTCTTTTAATATAATTTAATATTATAAGTTAATATTTTTAGGTATTTACATAAAAAAGAATTAATTTTTAACTTGGAATGGAATCAAGTTCCTTGCTTTTAGGAACAGCCATACGTCGACGTGCGACTGGACGACCCTTCTTCCAGTTGTATTTACCGCAGAACTCCTTGCAACTTTCGTAAGTATAAAATAGATTGCCATTGCCACCACAATTGGAATAGGTAAAAGTTTGACACTTTGATTTGTTGGTATTGTAGTACCACAATGTCCGGCGACCTTTGCATTTCCCATACTCTGGACCTTGGAGACAAATTTCTGCAAATATTTTAAATAATAAATTAAATTTGTTTAAAAAAAATTCTCTTAGAAAGGACAAACTTTTTCTTAATTCAAACTGCTCCCTTTCGTACTGATCCTGCAAGGAGTCCGAATCCATGTCGTAAGCCAGGATCAAAACAGACAGGCAGAGAACAAAACCGAGAGCTAAACTCAAACGGAACATGATGTGCTATTGTTGTGTTCTGGGAAATTAACGAAAAATAATCTATTCTGTTGCTTTTTATAGGGCCAAGTAATGGAAGCACACTCAGAAAAAAACAACATTAATATTATTCCATTTTTTTTAGCCAAATAAACATTTTTTCAGTGTATTATTATCAAAAACAGTTGATGTATTGTTTTTAAAGAATGGTTTTTCCACCAACTGTGTGCGAAAACAGTGTTTGGCGCCTGGCAAAACGTATGTGATCGGGCAATTGCTCAATGTGTAATCGGGTGGACAAAAATATTATGCGACCGGTTGGCAAGCATGCGAATTCAATTAAATTTCTCAATAAATTACAAGTGCAGAAAGATATACAGAAAAGTGAGTAAAATAATCGCACGCGTTTCCACAGGCGCTTCAGTTCAGATGCATAAAATATATATAAACTGGCCAACTGGTCTGGGCCGGCATTTAAACCGGTACTTAGCACCCCGATCTGTGATTACGCAAGTGCAAGTGCGGTGCAAGCGGCGAACACGAAAACATCACCTTAACTCACCTGAGATCGCCCGAGATCACATCGCACATCACACATACGCCGCGTAGTGCAGCGCCTCACAAACGAAAATCGAAATGAAAATGAAAACTGAAAACTGCAAACATCGGAAAAACGCTCGGCCGGCAAAACTGAAATTCTAGATCAAGGCCACGCCCGGCTAGGCCCATAAATATAAATCCACATCGCCTATCAATGTCTGTTGGTGCACGCAAAATGCGTAAACTAGTTTTTCGGCTCCAGGAGATCCAGGGAGGATTAACGGCGGGGGGTGTTCCACCAGCCCAATTCAGCAACTCACCCAATCGCCAAGGAAGCGGGCAACACGATAAATTGTCAGGCGAATGCATTTTGTCACATTCGGCTATTTTGCATTTGTAAATTACAAGACAAAACACTTAGCAGTCACCCCAGAAATTTGGGTTGATCTGGCACGGCACCCAATTACACATGAAAATGTAGTTGACTTTTTTACTTGTTAACCGACTGACAAATGTAGAGCACTTTTTGTATTTAATTTATTTTTAAACAGCTATGCTCAAAATAACAGTAGCACTAACAAATTATTAGATTTTAAAAAGATTTCTAAAATTTCCCTTAATAATAGAGATAGTATTTAAGACCTTTTTGTTCGATTTAGTAGTAGCATTATCCTAGTTTTTTTTTATACATGATAAAATTTAAAAAAAAAATATTCCAAATGTACAATTTACTTTAAGTTATTGCTTTTGTAAACTTATAAACCAAAAAACGAATAATTTATTCTAAGCTTTTATTTATAGTCTCAAAACTATTTTGCTGTACAAAACTGTGTGTGAATGCAGCAACTTTGTAAGAAGTTATTTCTAGAAAAATATATTATTGTTGAAAATGGCAAATAAATTATGAAAACATTTAATTATTTTCAATGCCAGCAAATGGTTTTTCCTTAGGGTTCTGATTTGAAAGCAAATCGGCCATTAAGTTATGGCACAGCATTAGCTAAGTGAGCAGCAATGGCCTTCAATGGAGTGTCGGCCTTCTATAAACAAATAATATAAATTATTAATAAATACAGTTAGGCTTGGAGTTCGGCTTGCGGCCACGACAATTTGGTCTGGAAAATAAGGCTAAAACCTTTGGCCGAATTGATTGCACATAATTTGAATTATTTAAATGTGGCATTTGACTATTCTCGCCATTCTGCGCCGACACTTGGCAATTATGGTCATTTGGGATTGACCCTTGGGGCTGCCAAGGCCAGGAAGTTGGCTTATCGCCACTCCATGATTGATGACAGTTGGCTTGCTCAGCTCTTATATTTTTTTGTATCTTTTCGCGTTTTTCTCCTCCTTTGATCGCACACGCAAATGAACCACATGGAAAATTGTGCAATTATTGCTAATAAAAATGTTTATGAACGTTACCTGTTACCCGATGCCAGCGATGACTCCGCTCGGCCGGCTGGTGATATGAATCACCATAAATCTAAGAGCGGTATAAATATTTATCGCAATTTTATAATCATCCCCAGCCGGACCAGGCCAAGACCGGCCGAAAAGAGCCGACTCTGCGTGAACTGGCTATCGGCCTCCGCGTGAGAATTGCACTCACATCGAAATAGTAAAATAAGTGAGTCAAAAGAGCTATTCATTCAAGAAATACCCTGGTTTTATCTTTTTGCTACAAGTTAAAGATCTTTATTATAATGCATGAAATATTTAACATACACACAAAAAAATCTATTGGTAAAATTGCCCAATGTAAAGTAAAACGGTTCCCAACCATCGAATTGTATATATGACTGATCAAATAGTTACTCTCACAGCAAAAAATAAATGCATTTCTATTTTATAAAAGTTCAACTTTTAAATAGTATCTAAACAGTAGTAACTAAACCTAACTAACCTTCAACCAAATTATAATTTTCTTTAAAAATAAATAAAAATATATTTATGTATTTACTTTAATTAAAATATCTCGCTAAAAAAATGTTTTCAATTGTTGTCTTATTTATAAGCAACTATGACCTTGCAAAAATCTTTCCAAAAATATAGTAAAATAGATTTTTAGTAACATTTTTAATGACTAAGAAAATGTTCCTTTAAATAGAGTATTCCACATACTTGAGCTTTGGCCAGTTCCATAGGCATTTTATGACAGGCAAATTTTACCGCGGCGATTGGAATGCCTAAGATAAAAGATCTAGCCTGACTCAAGAGCAGAAAAAAAGGTCGGTCGGTCTAAGAAAGTGGGTTAATTAGCAGGAAGCCGCCGGGGGAGGAGGCTGAGGTGGAGGAACCCCACTTGAGCACCCCAGAAAGCCCCGAATTGCTGCAATAAAGCGGCCGGGAGCATAACGCATCGGAATGCCCAAAAACTTGACCTGAAAATGGTAGCGGCCGTTACCATTGGCATTGGTACTGCAAAATACACAGCGGACATGTCCAGGACTCCTGGCTGTGGCTCCGGACGACGTCGACGTCATGGTTAATTGGGCATTCAAATGTCAAGTTCAATTTTGGGCCACATTAGCGTTACCTATAAAAGGGCCGTTCGCTCTGCGCTCTGCATAAAATGAGATTTATTGTTGCATTTTTCTGCTACTGGTGGCAATGGTCCAGTGATCTGGGCCTGGTCCAAAACAATTGGCCAGTCGTCGTCGTTGCCCATTGCCAATCGCCGTTTGCCTTTTATCGTTTCTGCCTTTGAATAATTCGGGACACAGGCGCTTTGCCCTCGTATAAATTGGCAATATTGTTAGAAAAATGCAAGTAAAATTTGCAAATTGCATTTACATTTGGTGTAGCTTTTTATTTGATTTCATTTGATTTAGTTTGGTTTTTATAGGCTCTTGGCTCTAATGTGACGTTGACATGCCACTTCCGCTTGGCTTAAACGGGCCCAAGTTGGACGGCTTTTTTATCAGCTCTCAAATGCTCTCAAAATAAAAATATAAAACGCTTGCAATTAATTTTCAGTTAAATGCCTGGGCTCTTAACTATTCTAAGTGCAGCCAACTGGACCGCCGAAAAAATGAAATAAAATAATTAAAAAAAGCAAGTCTGCGCACTGGCCGGCTGAGCTTTAAATCATAAAAAGTATTTCGGCTGCAGTGTTTGGGCATAAATCAAACGATAAGTAAATTAAAAGCCATAAATTCGCAATTAATTTTTAATTTGTGCAAATTGATAGCCATCAACGTGTTGAAACTGCCAATAAAAAAATTATGCCAAATAAATCAAGAAACTTGGCAAAAAAACTATGATCCAGAATCTGACGTGGAAACGCCTTAAAGCAGCTGGATACAAATTATGGAATGGCTGTAAAGATATTGAAGGATAAAACAGACACCCGAAGGTTCGGGACTTTAGTCGATTATAAAAATACTTTATGAGGTATTGAAAAAAATATTATTTTATATTATTAAAAATATATGAATAATATTATAATATATTTAAAATTTAAATTTCAAAGTTTTGATTTCCTCCAAATAACATTATTAAAACTAGCATAAAACAACATAGAATTATAAAAAGCAATTGCGACTGGTATATTAAATGTTCATATTTCAACTTTCTTATGTCGATATATAAACTCTAGAAATGCTTGGCATTTACTACAGCAATTTCCCAGGATTATTTCTTTTACTGGGATTGCAATTATGAATCTGCCAACGTTATCATCTGGCTAAGAGATTCGTCTTGGTCAGGCGAAACACCGGGCCAACAAACAATCAAATTGCATTAGCTCTACGGCCTCCTAAAGGAGTCTTGGTCCAAGCCTTATAAAATGCCCCTGGCTACAACCTACGCATTGTGGCCAATAAACAAAAGTGTGAAGGTCTCCAGGGAATCGCGATGGAAAGGTGCAACACGAACTGTTGACCCTGAGAGGATGTTGCTGGTTGCATGTTGCTGCTGTTGTTGCTGTTGCTGTTTGTTTCTGTTGCTGCTTTGCTCACCTAACATTATTGGATGTGATTAATTATGCTGACATTAATTCGGCTAATAGAAATATATCTCGTTGCGTTGAAAATGATGTTGACGTGATTGTAATTGAAGTTGCTGGCCTGGCCCATGGTGTTGCTGTTGTGCCTGAATGGCTGTTTGCCTTTAACCCGGCTGGAAAATTGCCTTCTCCGCTGCGTGCTGTGCAGTTTATTGCAAATTTGTTTGTATTTATGATAATTGATGGGAAGAAATGGTGAAAAGCGCTTATGAAAATCCATTTTGGCAGCGAGCATTAATCAAAACGATAATTGGCGACTGTTGTTCCGCCGTGTTGTTTGCTTTCACGCCAACTATCGAGCTGGCCAGATAGTCAGCCATCGGATAATGATAAAGCCAATGGGATGGCATCCAGACGAAGCATTTGGGAAAGTTCTGGGGCTGTGTGGCAACAATTAAGCAGCAATGTCCGGGCCATATAATCAACTCGACTCGAGCAGCGGCCTGAGTTATTTGC